CTTTGCTCCTAGTAGCGTCCTTGCTCCTAGTAGTAAGGCCAGGAGCCCCTAGTAGCTTCCTTGCTCCTAGTAGCGATGCCCTTTGCTCTTAGTAGCGTCCTTGCTCCTAGTAGTAAGGCCAGGAGCCTCTAGTAGCTTCCTTGCTCCTAGTAGCGATGCCCTTTGCTCCTAGTAGCGTCCTTGCTCCTAGTAGTAAGGCCAGGAGTCCCTAGTAGCTTCCTTGCTCCTAGTGGCGATGCCCTTTGCTCCTAGTAGCGTCCTTGCTCCTAGTAGTAAGGCCAGGCTTCTAGTAGCGATGCCCTTTGCTCCTAGTAGCGTCCTTGTTCCTAGTAGTAAGGCCAGGAGCCCCTAGTAGCTTCCTTGCTCCTAGTAGCGATGCCCTTTGCTCCTAGTAGCGTCCTTGCTCCTAGCAGTAAGGCCAGGAGCCCGTAGTAGCTACTGGCTACAGTCAAGTCTGGCTACTTAAAGATCCGTAGATCATCATAGATCCAACCATTCCATCCGTAGCTTCCAAGCGCTCCATCGCCACGGAGCGTGATGCTGTCAGCCACCGAGGTTTGCCATCATGGTGGCCATGGGCCCGGAAAAGATGAAGGAGCGGCTTGAACACAGCCCAAGCACCACCGGTCTTGCGACACGCGAGTTCGAAAACGGGAGCGGTTTGAACACCAGAGGGTTCAATCCGGATTTTCGTTTCAAAGGTATGGAGACCCAGCAAAGACTGCAAATTATCACTTAGTTGAAGACTGCAAAGATCCTTACGATGTTGTCACACAATTTCACCTAGGCTGATGCATCCACCTGTTCTGCTCCCCTTTCAACCAACTCGTGAAACATCCAGGCCCCATCCAGAAAAAGCAGTCTTAACCTTTATACAAGCCTTGAAGAACAAGCCCACACAGTCCTCCAACAGCTTTGTGTTGGTATTTTTTCTTTCTGGAGCGTGCAAAAGGGGTCATACAATGGGGGTTGGTAAATGGCCAGTGCACCACTCTCTATAACACTATACTTGCTGTGTGTAACCCGCTAGTGACGTACAGTGTTAGTGTTTTTGGCTTATGCGTAACTGCAGGGAAGCGTAGTGTGTTCAGATGACTATGCCCAATGCAGGTCGTGCGAACACGGGATACTGGGATTGGGCATCCTGGCATACTTGCATGTGCATGCTGTGATAGTAAGCTGCTAAGCGGCCCTTCCGTACACGACATCACATCTCATGCCATGTTCGATCGTATCGACGAGGTCGTGTCCTTTCGAAGTTTGGCTGTCAAGGCCGCCTGAGGCCTTAGGAGGTTCTGAGCTACTTCACCACCATAAGGCTTCTCAACATTCTTACCGTATTCAGTGTGTCTGCTTTGCTGCTTGTAGAGGGTTGTGCCAGAGAGGAACCCACCAGTGGCAAAATTCCTATGCCAGTGGAGACCTCATGACCTCGTGTTGAGGAGGGGTCAGAAAACAAAAACAAATTGATTTTGGGACCTGGTCTACCACGGCCAGCATGCAAAAACCAGGGGAAGACTAGTGTTTTTGAACAGAAACCTACCTCAGGATTTTAAGGGCAACAGGAACAAGGATTTAGATTATTTTCAGGATGACCCTTTGCAGCTCTGGTCCTTGTGTGTGCCCGTGACAGGCGCATTTCATCATGAGAAGGTCGCAGCTGGTTGGTTTCAAGGCTGATGTCCTTTCCGGTTTGAACGGTCCTAATGACTGATGATCAGTCCTTGTCAAGTTCACTGACACCAGCAAGCGGGTAGGGTTCATTTGGCTAGCGCTAGCAATATCGACATATAATCATTTCATGTTGACACATACAGCCGAACTGTGGTCGTTTTCCTATCCTCGCTTCATCGGGTGTAATGGGTTTCTGTCTTGGAGCCATGCTGGGGGCAAGTCCAACAGCTTCGGCGGCTGAGATAGAAGACAAGTATATAGATGATGGAACAGTGCACAGACATGGCAATCCGATATTCCTAAAGGTGCATTGTTCATTCAGATTTTCTATAGGAACCCCATTTTCTGTGGGAATTGTTTTCCAACGTGTTTTGTCTTTTTTTCCAGGTTCTGTTATCTTCGAGGAAGGAGGGAAGGAAGGAAGGAAGGCAGGCAGGCAGGAAGGAAGGAAGGAAGGAAGCAAGGAAGCCAGGAAGCAAGCGAGGAAGGGAGGAAGGGAAGAAGGGAAGAAGGGAAGAAGGGAGGAAGGAGCAATGTCTCAGTGCCGGGATGGTCACTATACTTTGTTTTTTTTGCGGGGGGGCGCTGCGCCCTCCCCCGCACCCCCTCCCACTTTTTTAAAGTTGAAGCAGGTCACTCAAAACAAAACCAGCAAACCAGTTTGGAAGCGACTGGCCTGCAAAGCATTTGACCCTCAAACCCTTTACACAAACAACTCTTGGTGTTTGGTTTTTCAGCGCGGGGATGCTCAATTTACGTTGTTTTCCTTGCGGGGAGGCGCTGCGCCCTCCCCTGCCCCCCTCCCGCTTTTTTAATTGATGGTATTGCTACAGCGCAGCACGACAGCCAAGAAAACAACCAAGCGCATACATCCATACATACAGCCTACCTACCCGCCTGCCTGCCTGCCTGCCTGCCTACCATAGATACGTGCGTACGTACATACACATACACACACGCATAAATGCATACATACATACATACATGCATACATTTTATTGATGGGAAGAGCCTTCTTCTTCTCTTGTTCCTTCTCCTCTCTCCTCTGTTTCCTTCTCTTTCTCCTTCTCCTTCTCTTTCTCCTCCTCCCTATTTTCCTCCTTTTCCTTTTTCTCCTCCTTCTACAATTCTGTTCCTTGCCTTCTATGCTAGTTTTTTCTCCTTTCCTTTTTCTCCTTCTCCTTCTACTCTTCTGTCCCTTGCCTCCTGCGCTAGTTCTCTTTCTTTTTCTCTTTGTGGCAACCCCTGACCACAAACAGTGCGGAAAAAGTCCCAAAACGCCTCGGAAAAAAATCCCGAAGAAAAAGGTCGCCCTTTTCTATATCATGCTTTTTTGCTTTTAATGGCAGCTTTGAACAGCAGAAGAACAACCATTTATGTCATGTGTGATGAACTTGTGGCACTCGTGTGTTTGTTTGTGTGTTGATATTAAAACCCTCCGTGTTTCAAAATACCTTTTGAGTTTTTGTGTGTTGAGTTAAGTATTCGATCTTCTTCCCAAAGGCTGGCTTTCCTACAAACATTCCTTTACTGGATGCCCGGCCCAATCTTTCCCCAATCTTACCTAACTCAGTGACAAACATGTTCCCGTGGTTGCTGCGGTTTGGATATGATGAAGGAGGGGGGCTCTTGTCCCCGCCAATGACACCCATCCAGGTTGCTTGCACTGTGCGTTTGCATGCGCGCGCTTCCTCCGAACGTGACCTCAGCACGCTCGAAAGGGGCTTTCTAGAAGCTTTGCTCTCGGCTAGGCAGGGGCTTGGTGTTTGGCTTGCTGTGTGGGGGCTAGGGCTTACTGTGCTCCCATGTCACAAGGTTGTTCTGACCCCTTCATTTGCCAACTGTGTTGAGGAGTCCTGGCTTTGTTTGCGGATCTTTTGGCGGCCTGACAAAAGCCGAACATGGGCACCATATACTTGATATCATAAGCTTGCTCAGACCTCCAGAAAGTATAAGGTTGCACACCGTGATAAACGATTTCGTGCCACTTCCTCAAAATAGTCCAGTAGATCCCTGCTTCGCCAGGAAAATAACCCAGTGGCGGCGCTGAGCGAGATGATGGACAGAGAAGGGCCGGAAGTCGCAGGGGATCCACGCAAAGCTCCCAGATCTTCACAACGTGAGCCATGTTACAGCTAATATTTGGGGGCTGCCACTGCCTGTGCACACAGTTGTTGCAATGGTTAAACACATGCGCTTGTGGAGCATCATGCACTGTTCTAGGGTGA